GGTTAATATATAATTTTTTGCTCCAGAGTCTTTTAACGACGACGGAGTTTCTCCGGAGGTCTACGCCTGAAGATTTGTGAAGATCTTCATCAAAAAAATTTTCTGATGCAACTATCAGGTGAAACATTAGATGTAATAACAATAAACTTTGAATTAAATACTTCCGATTCATCTTTTATCTCAACTGTTAAAGAATATATCGATCAAGAAGCCAAATCATAAAATCAAAAGGAAGCCACCCATAGAAATCATCAATAATAACAGCTTTTTATTGCTCGTAACCTTTCCACCAAAGTCCACTAGGCTTCCAGTATGCTTGAAAAAAGGTTTGATGATACCATCAAGACTTGCCAGATCCCATAGCACCATACCTTAGATTTAAACTCCCACAGTAGAAGGAGTAGACATTTCACTTGAATAAAGGTTCAATAATTACAAGCCCATATATCAGTCTTCTTTCATAAGCTCTCATTCACTGGTACCATTTTTTATCATATTAAAAGCTTTCTTTAAATCTGAATGATGACCCTTTCCATAAAAATCTTCCCATTCCCAGGATTCACAAACACGAGATTCTTCCTTCTTACAATATGCAATAGCTTGTTTTCTAGTACCCTTATGTGGTTCTAAATAAGTATAAGGAATAAGTTGATGTATACTATCAAGTCTTTTCTTTTTAGATAACTTAAGATAATCTTGATATTGATAAGTATCAGATTAACCATGCTCCTCTTGCCATACAATATATCAAAGATCTTGCATAGTATCTGAATCTAATTGTTTTGAGATTGTTAAGAGTAAAGATCTAGGCAATAGCAAAGTTATAATTGGTGATAGACATTTTTAATAAAAATAGAGAGAAAGATAGAGTGCCAAAGTGTAAAAAGCATACCTATATATAATAATCTTAACATATATATGATACATGAAAAGATTGTGTCAATAAATTCAGTCACATATGTAGGATAAATAAGTTACACAATGCAATGCGAATCAATAAATGAGTAAAAATCCTGCTCTCTGATTGGCCATTTGACTTTGGAGCAGGTGCACCAGATGTGTCATGGAGAATTTATATGATCTACATGTTTTTATTAATTAAAATTATCAAAAAAGGTAACACGCCAAAGTGTGCCAAGGTTGGGGGTAAAAATCTTTTTGATTGTTTCTATTAGGACAATCAGATGGGTGTAATTGAGATCATGTTGCCAGTCTGTTTTCTTGGGGATTAGATATATCAGGTTGTGTTGCCACTGTGTTGGAATTAAGGTTATATCCAGAATTTTGTTGAAGACAAGCATTATTCTTTGTATGGTTTTGTCTTCCAAGTGTTTAAATATGTCATAGTTTATTGCTGATGGGCCAGGAGCTGAGTTTTTGCTTGTTTTGGCAATGGTTTTTCTGATCTCTGATGATTGTATTTTTTGTAATACTGTTGTATACCAGCCTTCTTGTATATTGTCTCTTGGCTTGTATTCTTTTTGCTATTCTGTGGGGATTTGTGATGTGTTGTGATATAATGGTTGGTGACTGAAATACTTTTTTGTCAGTTCTTTGATTTCTTTTGATTCTGTAATAATAATTGTTTCTGGATTTTAATGATGATTGTGTTCATTTCAATTGTTTTGTGTTCTTGCAATAGTATGCTATTAATCATTTTCTTTTTGGATTCTGAGTATTGATCCATTCTTTTTTGGATGGCTTTTTTTATTTGAGTGTTGATATTGTTTTGTAATTCTTGATTGATTATCTTCTTCATTACTTGCCAGAGGTCTTTTACTTCTTCCAGCCATTTTGTTTTTTGGTTGATGCTTTCTTGAAGAAAGAAATTTGTTATGATATGTTTTGTTTTTATAGAAGTTTTGTCATTTTGTTGATTTTTTTAACTATTGTATTTGATTTTCTCTTTCTTTTGATATATGTGTTGACTAGATGTATAAGTTTCCCAAGGTTATAAATTAAGCCAATATTTCAGTTGGGATTGTATGGTTGGAAGTTATTTTTTTGCTAGAGATCTTTTTTGGGTTGGTGCTGTGATGTTCCAGAGTCTTTCTACTGACATATGGGTGGTGTTGTGTAAACCTTCTTGCCATTCTATTTCCTTGTCTAGCCTTTGTCACTTTGGTATTGAATGCATTTATTTTGAGAGATGTGTTGTGTGGTATTATTTGCTCATCTCCTATAGATGTATGTATTGAGCATGTAATAATGTTGTGATCACTATTGGAAATAAACTCTAATGGTATGATGTGTGCCTCCAGTATAAACCAGTTTGGATTTGATGATAGCCAGATGTAGTCAATTCGTGTTGCAGCTCCATTATTATTTTGCCATATATATTCTTTTTTGGATTTGCTAATCCATTAAAGTCTCCCAGTGTAATAGTGAGAAAGTCTTTGTTGTTTTTTTCCAGATTTTTTGAAATGTCCAACTTAAAAATTGTTTGTGGTTGCTGCTGAGAGATGCTTGACTTTGTTGTTGTTTTTGTAGTATAGATATATACAGATATCTCTTCCTAGGAACTTGTTTACAATACCTATGTGTTGTGTGATTTCTGTTTTAAGTATGATAATAATTCCCGCTCCTTTGTTATCTTCTAATGCAAAGCTTTGATAACCTGGAACCTTCCAATGCTTGCTGAAGTCATTTGCTATAGTGCTTTTTTGAGGAGGTTGTTGAATCCTCTTGTATTGTGTGTTACTATATGCCATTTGTGCTGTTTGCTGGTTGGTAGTTGTTCAAGTGAATTTGTTATGTTGTTGCTGATGTTCTTTAATATTGCTGGTGCTATCATTTGGTTTCTTGTGTTTTGTGTGGTTTGGTGTATGTTTAGTTGGTGATGTTTCTAAGTCTGACCATGAAAAGATATTGTTGAGTTATTCATCTGTAATTAAATTTAGTGTTGTGGAATTCGTGTCATTGTTTGAACTGTTTTCTAGGGCTGAAGAGATATCACTGGTTGTATTCCCTATTTGATTTGTGTGATTGGATTGGGATTCTAGCAAAGGTATCCATTGTTGCTATGATCTGATTCATACTGTTTTGCATTCCATCTAGGGTTGCTGTTGGTTGATTGTTTCAATCTTTTCTTTATTGATCTGTTTGCTTTCCACAGATTCATAATATTCTTTATTGTGAAACTCAAGGTTTATGATGCATTCATCTAGTTCTATGATTTTTTCTTTTACCTCTTCTAGGTTTCTTTGGATTTGTCTTAGGAGATTTTGTATTTCTGTTAGGGATTGTGGATTTTCTTTTCTTTTTTGTGTTTGGGTTTTGACTGCAGTTGTATAGGATCCTGCTTTGTTTTGCCCATCTGATCTTGATCTGTTGATATTGCAAATTGTACCTGTTTTGATGGGTCTGAATTTGTTATATAATGTTACAAATTTGAATGCTTGTTCTTGTTAATATTTCTGCCATTGTTGATGGCAAAGCTTGATTGGGCAATCTTTGATAATATGGTTCTCAGAGTTACAGATTGCATAGAGCATGGGTTGCTGCTCTGGGGATATAACATGTTTACCCTTTGCATTGTGTGAGAATATCCTTGAGGTCTTATACTAATATATTTGGAGATAAATTGATTAATTTGGTTGTGATCTTGTGTCTTGCCCTTATTTGATCTAGTGACTATTCTGTATCATTGATTCTGACCATACATGTGGTTGTATTACCATAAAAGGAAATTTTATCGACAATATGATTCTGAATTAAATACGAATTCCAATTATTTACTATATGTTACTTAGTAATTCTACCATAATATGGTTTTTGAAAA